CCCGACGTGGACATTCACGGCCCCGAGGGGAAATTCAAGATGCCCAAGTTCAAGATGCCCAAGTTTGGGATGCCGGGATTGAAAGGAGAGGGCCCAGAGGTGGACGTGAGCCTGCCCAAAGGGGACATTGATGTTTCTGGTCCAAAAGTGGCCATTGAAGGTCCAGAGCTGGACATTGAAGGCCCAGAGGGGAAGGTGAAGGGCCCCAAGTTCAAGATGCCCGAGATGCACATCAAGGCCCCCAAGATCTCCATGCCTGACATCGACTTGAACCTGAAAGGCCCCAAGCTGAAGGGAGACGTGGACGTGTCGGTTCCCAAGCTGGAAGGTGACATCAAGGGTCCTGAATTGGATCTAAAAGGACCCAAAGTAGACATCGATGTTCCCGATGTGGAGATTGAAGGACCAGAAGGGAAACTGAAGGGCCCCAAGTTCAAGATGCCAGAGATGCATTTTAAGGCTCCCAAGATCTCCATGCCGGACTTTGATCTGAACCTGAAAGGCCCGAAAGTGAAAGGGGATGTGGATGTGTCTGTGCCGTGTGTGGAAGGTGACCTGAAAGGGCCAAAAGTTGACGTTAAAGGTCCTGAGGTGGACATTAGTGCCCCAGATGTTGAAATCGAGGGCCCAGAGGGGAAGGTGAAAGGTCCCAAGTTCAAGATGCCCGAGATGCACTTCAAAGCCCCCAAGATCTCCATGCCAGACTTTGACCTGAACCTGAAAGGTCCCAAAGTCAAGGGGACGTCGGATGTTTCCGTTCCACAACTTGAGGGGGACTTGAAAGGCCCGGACGTTGACATCAAAGGCCCGAAACTGGATGTTGACCTTCCTGATGTTGAGCTGGAGGGTCCTGAGGGGAAGGTGAAGGGCCCCAAGTTCAAGATGCCCGAGATGCACATCAAGGCCCCCAAGATCTCCATGCCTGACATCGACTTGAACCTGAAAGGGCCCAAGCTGAAGGGAGACGTGGACGTGTCTGTTCCCAAGCTGGAAGGTGACATCAAGGGCCCTGAGTTTGATATCAAGGGCCCCAAGGTCGACATCGAGGCCCCCGACGTGGACATTCATGGTCCTGAGGGGAAGTTCAAAATGCCCAAGTTCAAGATGCCCAAGTTTGGGATGCCGGGATTGAAAGGAGAGGGCCCAGAGGTGGACGTGAACCTGCCCAAAGGGGACATTGATGTTTCTGGTCCAAAGGTGGACATTGAAGGTCCAGAGCTGGACATTGAAGGCCCAGAGGGGAAGGTGAAGGGCCCCAAGTTCAAGATGCCCGAGATGCACATCAAGGCCCCGAAGTTCTCCATGCCCGACGTGGATTTTAGTCTGAAAGGGCCCAAGGTGAAGGGAGATGTGGATGTCTCGGTGCCGAAGTTGGAAGGGGATTTGCAGTGTCCAGATGTTGACATCAAAGGCCCCAAGCTGGACATTCAGGCACCCGATGTGAACATTGAGGGGCCGGAAGGAAAAGTGAAAGGTCCCAGGATCAAGATGCCGGAAATGCACGTCAAGACCCCCCAGATCTCCATGCCGGACATCGACTTGAACCTGAAGGGCCTGAGGCTGAAAGGCGATGCTGACCTCCAGGGTCCGAAGCTCGAGGGAGGTCTGAAGGGTCCTGACGTTGATCTCAAGGGCCCCAAAGTCGATATCGAGGGCCCAGAGGTTGACGTTGATGGTCTGGATGGAAAGATGAAGATTCCGAAAATGAAGCTGCCCAAGTTTGGGTTTAAAGGAGAAGCCCCCGATGTGGATGTGAACCTGCCAAAGGCAGAGGTGGAGCTTTCAGGCCCCAAGGTAGAGATCGGTGTCCCGGAGGTGAGTGTTGAAGGTCCAGAGGGCAAAGTGAAAGGTCCTAAACTGAAGATGCCAGAAGTGCAGGTGAATGTGCCCCAAATCTCCATGCCCGAGATCGATCTGAGCTTGAAAGGCCACAAACCAAAGGGGGGCTTTGACGTTCCCACCCCAAAGCTGGAAGGTAGCCTGAAAGGCCCGGAAGTCGCCATCAAAGGCCCCGAATTCGGAGTGAAGAGCCCTGAAGTTGACGTTGAATGTCCTGACCTGAGTGTTGAAGGCCCCGAGGTGAACGTCAAACTCCCCAAGTTCAAGAAACCAAAGTTTGGGTTTGGGATGAAAAGCCCGAAGGTGGAAATCAAGGCCCCGGGGGCGGAGGTGGACTTCCCCGAGGCGGAGCTGAGCGCGGAGTCGCCCGACGTCAGCGTTGCCGGGAAGGGCAAGAAGAGCAAGTTCAAGATGCCAAAACTGCACGTGAGCGGCCCGAAGGTCAAAGGCAAGAAGGGCGCGTTCGAGGTGAAC